GTGATAGGATTGATAATACCAAATGTAAACAGAACCTATGTGTTAACCATTTAGAGTTCTGTGCTCTTGGGACTCTTTCATAAATCACTGCTACCTGTTTACTTTAAGACTGTAAAGCAGAAACAATAACTGGCACATAAAGGAATTTACCCTTTAGACATGGTCCCCAAAAAAGTTATTGTTTCATTAGACAGCCTACAATTTTGTAAAATTCCTTCTTCAAATTAATTTTTAAATCGTTAAATGTTATTTTTCCTAATACTTCTAAACATTGCTTAATTTCTTCTTTGGGGTTTATGTGAAAAAAAGAATTTTACTAAATTAGTTATTTTCATTTGGCATATCGGCGTAATGACGTCATTTCCGGCTTCACGCCTGTGACGCGCTTCATTCATGTCTAGCAACAGGAAGCGTGGCTAGCGTTCAAACTTCGCAGCTTAAAACAAACAATCATGATTCCTAATGCCGATACCTGACAGTCAATCCGAGTCAGAGTAGGGCAGAATTGTTTTCAAAGGATTTTACACCGCGAGTCTGACAACTGGACTCACTGCCCAACAAAGAACTGAACGTCGGAAAGTAAGCCTGAGGTAAGTTAGTTTACAACAGGGTTTGATGTCGGGGCCCAAATTTTACAGTAGCCTACAAAGTGGCCCATGGCTCATTCAAATATTACCACTGTATTGGGTTATTGATCTAACCCATTCTTTGATTTGTATTCAATAACTAAATGAAATCCAATTGTAGTTTAACAGTTTATTATTCTTGTGTAGTAAACCTGCACATACAAGATGCCAAACTCACAACAATTCATGGAACAAATCAATCTGCATCAAGAACACATTTAAAGGCATGCAAATTAACACAAAAATCAGTTAGATTTGACAAATTTTATATACAAAAAAGTATAAAAATAAAACGTGTTGCTAAAATAAATAAATTCTAAATAACAATTAAATTAAGTAAGTTGTAAATGAAAAAAAAATGAACATAAAACATAAGGTAACAAGTTTGTTTTAGAAGTTTAGGGATAACTGGCACACAAAGGAATGTGCACTTTAGACATGGTCCCCAAAAAGGTTATTTCATTAGAGAGTCAAACTTTCGCTTATATTTTATGACGCTCAGATATCATTAAAAACCATTAAATTTTATGGAGTCACGAGAGAATGCAAATGAAAAATTTATTGCAAAATAAATTAATTCTAAATAACAGTTTTCAAATTAAATAAGTTGTAAGTGAAAACAAACAAACAAACATAAAACATAAGGTAACAAGTTGGTTACCTATGGAAAAAAAGTGAAATCAAATAAAGTGTGACTGAAAAAATGTAGCTTTATTATCTGCAAAATAATTTGATCATTGTTTCAGCAGTCTACATTTTTGCCAGGCAGAACCTGAAGTCGCTCTTCATATCTGGGCGCACACTTTATCAATTTATGGCCAGCAATATTGTAATGTTCAAACATTTAACATTTGAACTACTAACGGGCTGCGCCGAGTGGAATTTGACGTCTCGGCCATGATCTGGCACAACACATCATACCACCTCTGTTTCCTTTCTGAACATTTGTATTTTGTATTTCCCAAGATTTTCCAGTATGGCGCCGCCCATACCCCCCATAAACAGCCTCAGAACTATGGGTAATATCAGAATCTATGGGTGACGTCAAAGACGTTTTGTCCATATTTTTTACAGTGTATGCTCATGCCACAGACTCAGGCACCGAAATCAGGCACAGGAAATTGAATTCTTATTCGGTCTGGTTACTACCGTTTACGTCAGAACCGGTTCCCTATTGGCACCGAGTTTTGGTACCCAACCCTTGGTAGTCCACGCCTAATCGAGATAAAACATCTCAACTTTTCAGAATGCCATATTGGTCGTTGACGTTGAGCTATGGTAAGTTAGCTTTAGGCCGCATAGCTTGCACTTGAGTCTTGTCGTCTTTTTTTTTTTTTTGTGTAAAATACAGCCAGACAAAAGATTTAGATTTCTTGGACTTTTTGTCGACTAAAGCTAAAACAAGTAGCGTTCTAACTGAATGAATACATCAAAACTACCTATATCCCTTACACAGGTGCGGTTCCCGAGTGTTCGCTAAACTGCGGCGCTATTACAAAAATAGCCTAAATGAAAGCATTTAAAGTTGGAGATAAAACATAGGCTAATTATATTTAGAATACAGTAGATTGGTATTGGGATTTATTAGCTGATCTCTAACATTAATGCATCAAAATAATAATTGTAGAGCAGTTACGTTCTTTCTGATATCACATCATGGTTCACCTTTGCGTCTTTCCCTTTACATTTCTCTATTTTTTTTGTTTGTTTTACTGAAAATGAGCCTTTCCTTATTTTAATTTTAGTCCTGATGGAACACAACGAGGAGAGCGAAGAACTGAGTGAAGCGGAGGGGAAACATCATGTCAAAACTGGAGAAAAATCTTTGAGTCGCTCACAGACTGAAAGTAATTTATTGAAAAGAACAGCAAAAAAAAAATCTTTCGCGTGCCGTCAGTGCGGGAAGAGTTACGCAGTAAAAACAGTCCTTAGGGAACACATGAAAATCCACACTGGAGAGAAGCCGTACACATGTGATCAGTGTGAGAAGAGTTACATATTTAAAGCAACCTTTAGGGAACACCTGAAAATCCACAGCGGGGAGAAGCCATTCACGTGTGATCAGTGTGGGATGAGTTTCGGAAAAAAAGGATCCCTTAAGGAACACATGACAATCCACACTGGAGAGAAGCCGCACACATGTGATCAGTGTGGGAAGAGTTTCAGAAAATCATGCACTTTAAAAATACACCTGCGTTGTCATTCTGGAGAAAGGCCGTTTACCTGTGATCAGTGCGGAAAAACATTTGTTAGGGCAGATGCGCTGAAGGACCACCTGAAAGTTCACACAAAGGAGAAGCCTTACACGTGTCCTTTGTGTGGAAAGAGTTTCAGTCAGATGAGTACCCTAAATATACACCAGAAAAGACACAACGGTGTGAAGGATCACATGTGCTTTGATTGTGGGAACACTTTTGTTCGAGATGCTGAACTAAAGCTGCACCAACTAACTCACTCTAGAGAAAAACCTTACAAGTGTTCACACTGCGACAAGAGATTCAAAAGTTCAGCATATCGGAAATCACATGAGCGGATCCACGCTGGAGTGAAACCTTACAAGTGTTCACACTGCGAGAAGACTTTCACTGATTCGGCATCTCTGAAATCACACGAGAGGATCCACACTGGAGTGAAACCGTATCATTGCCCTCCGTGTGGGAAGAGTTTCACTCATTCATCTTCTCTAGGTTTTCATTTAAGAAACAAATGTTTGAAATCATCTTTGTATACATCTCATTCAAAATGCGACACTTTGTCCTCGCCAAACTAAGCAATCAAATCTATCTCCTCTATATAAATCTGCCCAAACCAGCCACAGGTGACGGGTCAATGAAACATTCAAAGTTATTACCGTGAACAGAGTCCCTCTTTACCGAGATTTACACGAGTTTCTCCAAAATCAACAATATCTAAGAAGTTCTTGTATAAATGTTTACTTCATGATAAAATAAAATCATGCTTTATGAAGACTAAAATGTCATCTTTTTTTAATATTAATGTATTATTAATATTATGTATCTGTATCAATATGATTGTATTAATAATATCTATTTGTACTATTATTCTTTATTAATATTCATAATCAGTTGTATTATCTTAAGCGAGTTTCAAAAGCATGAATTTGAATGCATGATAAGACTATAAATAACACATCAGGGGGAACTATATTTTGCATATTATATATATGATATATTTTGCAGAATATATATAACTATTTTTATATATTTCTTTAAGTGGTGTGTACAATGTAACGTTTTCCACTGATGCAAGTGTATAACCAATGTAAATAAGGATAGATCTTAATATGGACGTGAATCTTGACATATATATACGTTCTAAGTTGAGAAAGAAGCTCAAAGCAACAAGTTTTGTTACATTACAAGGAAGCTGGAAGTTTCTCTGTGCTATATAAAACGCATAGACCTGGCATGAATACAACATCTCAAAGTTTTTCATAAAATCTTTCTTGGCAAGATAACTGGTGTCCGGTCCAGTAAATTGAATTATAACGGGGAAAACAAAAGCCTTTAATTCCAAGTCTACACTTTATTTATGATTTTTGTATTTTGGTCTTATTATATTTAAACGTTTTATAAAAGTGAACGGGAGTGGATTCTTATGCTCCATTGCTTTCCTTTTGCCTTCTTATTATTTCCTTTTACTCCATGTGTAATCAGCATTTATTAATCAGTTTGCCGTTTCCGCCTCCTCCTTGCCATAACATCTAACTTTGATAGACAACCACATTTGAGATTAGATTTGGATCTTCAGACAGCTTTATTGGGTATACATATGATACACTGATGCAAATTAACTCATTTAATTGTAGAAATCTGGAAGCCATAGAAAGAATACATGTATTACAAGCTTAATATTTTGTGTACCTTCATTCACTTAAAAAGTGTTCTCATTGTTAGGAATTCACAGCAGTCATATATCATTAAAGTACATGTCTAATTGTTAAAACCTGGAAGCCACAGAGATTTCACATCATTACTTTATACATTTTGTAATTAAAGACTATAAATATATAATTAAATGATTAATTTTCTCTTCATTCATTACGTTGCATTATATCAGCATAGTGCATGGCAGTCACAGTCATTCAAGTTTTATTATAATCGGTCAAACTTGAAAGCCAACATCAGTATTGTTTACTATATTTTAGACAATATACAATATCATTCGATACACAACGCCTACTATTAAATACTATTGCACATTTGCTGGTGGAAATGCTGTGGAGTGTTACCTGTCGTGACGTTCCCTACTCAGCCTTCTCTTAAAAAAATAGCATTTTATCAAAGTACAATATACATATAGTTCTCAACCATAGTATTGCCTATCCTTCATTATCCGTTTTTTTTAAAGTGCTTTTTTTTTTTTTTTTTTTTTTTGCTAAAGGTTGCAGGCTTGCAGTGGCTCTGGTATGGCTGTGTTCTCGTTGCATTTACAATTTTGACCAGCAGGTGTCGCTAGAGTACAGGGTTTTCTGGCTCTTTCAATTTACTTCTTTTCTGGACGTTTTTATTGTCCTGAATGATGGATTGGTTTTGCTATGACATTCACTGGTGTGTAACTCATTTGTCCTGTGATTACAGCAATGTTTGGTTTGATCTCTGCGAAACAGTTATTCTACTCTAAACTAGACCAAAACAACACAATAGTTCCCAACCATAGTATTGCCTCTCCTTCATTATCCTTTTTTTTAAAGTGCTTTTTTTGTTTTTTTTTGTTTTTTGCTAAAGGTTACAGGCTTGCCTTCCAGTGGCTCTGTGAGTTTTCTGCGAGTTTTACAAATATTATTCAGTACAGTTCTCCAGCATGAAAAGCAAGGAAAGCCAATATACTGTTTCGCTGAAGGCCAGACACTTCAAGTAGGAGGCGCCTGTGCCTCATGTGGGGTTAAGTTTAAAGTTGTGGTTAGACGTTTTATACAACCCATTTTGACACGTGTTGCTCAGTGCAGAGCCAAATGATGTCTTGTCCACCTCTGTGGATGTAATAGGTGGAGGAAGTTTTAGGTAGGGTATGTTTGGAACATCGCTCCTCCTATTATTCTCATATTTCAAAGAGGGGGAGCTGAACTTCACGCTCCATCCAGATGGGCTGCAGTGATAAAGAATGAGGGAGGAAAACATTCCAATGTTTTTGGAGAAGAGCCAAACCTGTGGAAATGTCCTATCATGCAGGACATCTGCAGTAACTGCTGAAGTGATAATTAGAGTGAAGCACGCTGGTTTTAATATGTTACCTGGATGGAAGACCTAAATTATTATTATTATTGGTGTAATTTAGTGTTTATGTTAAAAGCTTTCAGGGGCTAGATTGTTTCAGGTTTGAGAAAATACTATAAAAACTGATTTAATAATAAACGCTTTTTAAAGTGAAATTAAATAGTTTATTTTGCTCCATTCCACTACCTGTCCTATGAAGGTTTTCTCCCAAATTATTTAACTTACAGTATCTATGATTACAGTCACGTTAGAAGTATTTTTATATTTGCATTCAGCATTGCTTCCCTCTGATCAATATTTGGGTCATAAGTCACCAGTTGAGAAACACTGCAACAAGACTGAAGTATTGTAGACAAAATATTAAAAGTAATTTTGTTCCTTAGATCATAACACTTTGAGTACACTATTTCATCCTCCTCCTTACGTTTCTGTAAGAAAACACACAAAGTAAAATCAGGAACAGTGTTGAGGAACAGATGCAAAACTGGAAAAAGAAATAAATCTTTCAGAGGATAACAAAAGTCAAGTCAATATACTGTATAGCGCTTTTTACAACCTTAAATCATAGATCTTAGATCATACAATCAAAAATTTTTCTTTAATTTTCTTTAAATCACTATAGTGTTAAATCCAAAATCATCTATAATTCATCTTAACATAGAGCGCTTAGGCTCATATTAACATACTGTATTTGCTTAGGCTATGCTAAGAAACAAGCACAAACAGGCACTGAGATTTGTGAATCATTTTGTGAATGATGATGATCTATCAATGCACTGTTACGGAGCTTTACAGACACAACGCACACAGCAACACTGTATCTTACCATATTCTATAAATGATGTGCACAAAATTCACATTTAAAAAAAAAAAAAAAAAAATAGGCCTATACATGAATCTGAAATAGGGATACACAAAAGACTCATTTCAACTTCAGTAATACTTACCACTTGGTGTTGCTGGTTTACGGTTCTTGATGTGCCAGAACACAATCCCTCCAAAAACTGCAATTATGGCCAGAAATACCAATAAAACTACCACTAGTATAAAATATGAACGGGGACTCTGTTCTGTAATGAACAAACAGAAAACAGTATGTAGTATATGTTAGTCCTGCCAGTCAAACACGAGACAGAATACAGCAGATAGGGGAGATCATTTAATATTACACAACTGGAGAAACTCTTAAAAATAGTAAACCATTCAGCTTGACATGATGCTGACCAGCCTTTGTTCAGAGTTTTAACCCCAGGGGCCGGTTATTAACTGCTCAGACTAGTCTTACAAGTTAGTGATCAAATTGTTTTCTTTAACTGACTGACAGTTCATAACTTTTTATAAGAAGTATATTACATAAAAACTTATATTGGTTTAATTTGAAAGCAAAAAGTAAGATTGCCTACCCCTTGACAAACTGCTAGTGGCTCATCCTCGAGACACTGTGTTACTGTTAATATAATATGTTTATGCAACTGGCCCCGGGTGTTTAAATTAATGTAAGACCTAATATTCAACTCATAATCAAATATACTGATATTGTGTTGAGGTTATAGCTCACAAAGATGAACCTACAAAATATTCCAATCAATACAGGTCAGAAGACTGTAATATTAGCGCTGACATACCTTCACATGGTTGACAGAGTGTGTTGATGTCCAGATGTGTGGTCTGGTTTCTGACAGGATTGTTGATCACACAGCTGTAAGTGTTTTTATCCTGATATTCCACATCCAGAGGTAGAGAGAGACTGATGCTGAGATCAGACACACTGATGCTGGACAATACACTCATTCCTTTATACCAGGAGAGAGTCACATCACTCACATTCACAGCTGAACACACTAGTGAACATCTGGACACTGATGATCTTGATGATGATGAAGATGAACACTTTAAAGAGTGACTGGAAATGACAGGTATCTGTAGAGGAGCTGGAAAACATGAAAGAACATGAAGGTTTTATCTCAGTATGATTATCAAAAATCACTAAAATGATACAGATGTTAATCAAAAAGAAACCAAAAATGTGAATGACAGGCTGAAAAAAAAGAAATGCCTGCATTTTGGAGCATTTTAATGATCATTTATCATATCAGCAATTATTGCATTTGTGTTGTGATATGATTCATAGCGTTTACTCACCATAGACAGTAACATTGAATCTCTTTAATGAAGTTCCTCTGCTGATGACGATCAGTTCATAAAGTCCAGTGTGTTCAGATCTGATGTTTCTGATGATCAGAGATCCAGTTTGATTGTCCATCTGGAGTCTGTCTCTGAATATTCCATCATTACTGACAAATATAAGGTTCATTTGGTCCCTTCTCATGATTTCAGCTATTTTTGTGATTTGAGGTCCAAACGTCCACAGTATCTGATCTCCTCTCTGTACTTGAACATCAGTGTTTAGAGAGACAGAATCTCCCTCACTCACTGACACTGACTTCACTTCATCTGAATCACCAAACACACCTGGAACACATTTAGATAAATTAATATTCTTTGTCATAACAAACAAACAAAACAATAAAGTAGGAAGGCAACTTTTGGGCCTTATTTTAAAAATTAAAGTGCATGGTCTAAAGTGCAAAAGTGCACTATCTGAATCCACTTTTACGAGTTTAACGTGAAAAATGGTCGGCACTTCCATAGACATAATAAATACTGTACATGGACGCCCACTGGATTGTACGTCATTGGTGCTGCCATTGCAGAAGGCAACATTCCCATAACACTCATAAAAGTTATTGAGAAAAATGGCTTGTGTGCTGTTTGGGGCTGTACAAATCACCACACAATTAAATACAAGTCTCAGGGAATTATCTTTCACAGGTTCACTATGTCACGGTGTGGGTTCATGTCTAGTTCCTGTCTGTCTTGTGTTCCCCCATTATTGTATATTTGGTTCAGTCCTGAGTTTTTTTGTTTGTCGTTTACCCTGGATTAGCTGTTTGTTTAGTGGGCCTCCCACTAAACTATCTTTAGTGTGGATGGATGGATAGATAGATGCATTTTTTGGTCGGCTGGCTTGACTGTGTATTTTCAAACCGCGGCTGGCTTGATCGCAGTTATTAAAGCTGCAGTTGGCAAGTCTGGCGGATTGAGTGGATTTAGGCAAAATTTTGAATGTTTACAACTCATATGAGGGTATTCGTTGATAGTGGGGGAGGCCTCCCCCACTATCAACGAATACCTTCCCACAGCACAGAGTTCGTGCTCGAGTGCGTGCTTGATCTGTGAACGCGACCGTCTCATCAGCAGCCATCAACACCATGGATTATTTGGAGGTATGCTGCCCTTGCTAATCTACCAATATATTGCAATTGCTAACGTCGTTTATACTCTAAATGAGCTTACTTGGTTTGTTAGTGTTCTGCCATCACTCTTCCTTACTGCGCAAACTTCAGGCGTGTGCTGTGCATGTGATTGTAACGTGCGCGAGGGGTGGCATGGCTCTGGGGGTGGCGTGTGCCCGATCTGTGATTGACAGTCACATCTCACACCCCCCTGCGCTGATTGCACCGGATGGTCCAGGGGCCCGTTTTAATAAGGAGGTTCAACCAACTCTGAGTTAAAGCTTGAACTCTGAGTTGACTTACCCTGAGATGGAAAACTCTGAGTTTTCGGTTACAGAACAGCTGAAATTAGTTAGTTCAATCAACTCTGAGTTGACTGACTCTGAGTTAAGTGCGTGCACCACAACTATAAAAAGCCACCAATTCAGTATAAAAAATAGTGGATTTAACATACATTTTTAAAAGGTAGCCTACATTTTTTATGCAACCTTCTTCCTCTACACACTTTGATCAATTCAAGAATAATTCATGCAATTGTATATTGTTAATTTGAAAGAATTAAAAGTGCAGTTTCTTGTTTCTCCTCGTTTTGTTCAAGTGGTTGAGGTTGATTTAGGATTTAGCAATTAGTAATATGTAGACCAATACTTTCTAGAGGTAGTAGCCTAATTATTACATTAATCTAACTACACCGTTGAAGATGTCATTTGTAGTTAATAATTCATAACTATTTTAGAGTAACCTACAGTTATAATATAGAGGTGAAACTGGAAGAATGTTATTCAACCTAAAGTAGGCTACTATTACTTTGATAAATTTTTACTTAAAGGGGAAATGAAGCAGTGAATCAAGTTTACATTATTTACAAGATGGATTTCCAATATAATCAACAATTATATAAGAAACATGACAAATGTAAACATTTAGAAGAAAAAAAGAAAAAACTTTGTATCTTTCGCCGCCAGGGCGCCGCCATTGTGCAGTTGACGTCACGGGGTTGGTTGGCTCAAGTTTAACAGGCTCTGGGCATTGAAAATCGCGACATCAAACTGTGTTTACGCCAGTGTTTTGACCGCGAACGACTAATGTTAGGTGCAGTCATTAGACAAAAAGACGACGTCTAATGTTATATGTTGACAAACTGCACATACATAGAAACATTGTTCGCGATGTCTGCCGTCAGATATTATATATTATATTATATTATATATATATATATATATATATATATATACGTATATATACTGTATATTATATTAAGAGCCAACCAACCCCGTTACGTCACCTGCACAATGGCGGCGCCCTGGCGGCGAAAGATACAACGTTTTTTCTTCTAAATGTTTACATTTGTAATGTTTCTTATATAATTGTTGATTATATTGGAAATCCATCTAGTAAATCATTTAAACTTGATCCACTGCTTTATTTCCCCTTTAAGTAAAAGTAAAAATACCCGTCTAAAAATTTAATCAAGTAAAAGGTAGTTAATTTAAAACATGAGTAAAAGTTGCTGAGTAACTTGTTTAACAGTGGGGGTGGGGTGGGGGACTCCCCCATGTGGGATTGTAACCTATGAGAGTTTCACAGTATAATAACCATCTCAGAAAATATCACGGTTTATGGTATTAAACAATTATTAAATATATAAACTGCATTATTAAATTACGGTTATTAATATCATCAGTTAAAATGACAGTTAAATAAATTAATCATTTGTTCAATAAAACATCTCTAATCAACTAACTTCAATAATTGATTATGAATAAGATTAACATCTTATTTTTTTTATCATTAATAACTTATTAAATTTAATTATTAAATATTAAATTTATTCCAATTTTTTGTAATGATTTAATAGAAATATAATATCAAAAATGGTGGTAATCAAATAAAAGTTTAGCAAACGTTTTAAATCCTTTTATTTTTTGGCAAAGTGCTGCAAAACAGATTTAGTCAATTAAACCATGGACAAACAATATATATTCCTTATATATATTTATAAAGAATGTGTAAATACATGTTTATTGTTGGTGTTTAAACAGCACTTCCTCTTTAAAAAGGGGAGGAGACCACAATAAACTCTGGGTTTACTGAAGAAAACCTGCTCCCGACCAGGTTAGGTTCACAGAGTAAGTTACCATGGTAACTGATAACCAAAAAGTATAAGTATAAGTTACCTCTCTTTCAGAAACGGGCTTGACTTACTCTGCTTTCTCAGGTTTAACTTACCTCCCTTTCTGAAACGGAAAACCCAGAGTTTCCCTCATTTCAGGGTTAACATACTCAGAGTTTTCACTTAACCTCCTTTCTGAAACAGGCCCCGGGAGAGCTGGATTTTTGCAAAACAAATAACACGCTCCAGATGGAGTTAGAAGCTCGTTTTTTTTTTCTAAAACCTCTTTATTTACAACGCATTCTCACCCCAAGGCGTCACCTTTGACCATGCTTCAATATTTGACGTTTTAGGCGCCCTTTAGCGTCACTTACATGACGCTATCTTACGGCGTCATCTAACTGACGCTAAAGGAAAGCGTCAGTTAGAGCAGCGGTCCCCAACCTTTTTTGCGCCAAGGACCGGTTTAATATCAGACAATATTTTCACGGACCGGCCTTTAAGGTGTGGTGGATAAATACAACTAAATAAAATGATACGACTGCCATAAAAACTGGGGCTATTTTTTAAATATAATAATACACGTGAATCCACTGTGTAGGTCTACTCGCAACTTTATTAGCAGCGTCTTTGTAACATGGTGGCAACACTATAACATGAGTAACAACCGTAACATTCTCTCTGCCACCTAACGCTCTCTGGTTGCTATGGTAACGTTTAAACATGCCTTCAAAATAAGATACAACACAAAAACAAACGTAAAGGGCATGAAAAATACATCTCACCATTACGCTGAATCAGTGGGAGCCCTGAGCCTGTTTCTCTCTAACGAGACGGTCCCATCTAGGGCTAATGGGAGACAAGGACACCCGAAGTGTATTGCTTATGTCCAGTCTACTTCGTAGTTTTGTTTTGGTTGCTGTCACTGCCGAAAACCCTGCTTCACACAGATAGGATGTCGGAAATGGCAACAAGGTTTTCAGTGCTGTTGTAGCGATTTCAGGGTATTCTGCCATGACTTTTATCCAGAACACCGGCAGAGTTGTTGTCGCAAACATACTTTTAAGGCCGCCGTCACTTGCGATCTCCAGCAGTTGATCTTCTTCTTGCACAGACATGCTGGATTCACCTGGTTTGTTTACAAATGGGTCGCAAATCCATTCCTTGGCAGTTCGTGGGTCTTTTGCGGTAGGGAAGTAGCGCTCAAACTCTTTTAAAAGCGAAGACAGGTGATCGTGCACCAGCTGGGAGAATGAAGGCTTGGGCTCAGTCTCTTTCAAAATCCCCGCAAATGTTGGAAACATGTCAAATATACCTCTGTTCACGCGCCGTCCCCACAAATCCAGTTTGGCTTTAAATGCAGCTACTTTATCTGCCAACTTGAAGACTGTTGTCATTTTCCCCTGAAGTGACAGATTGAGTTCATTGAGCAGGTTGAATATGTCGCACAAGTAAGCGAGTTTAACAACCCATTCCTCGTCACTGAAATGTGCTGCCAGCGGTGACTTTTTTTCTGAGAGAAATCTCTGCAGCGGCTCTCGTAATTCAAACACTCTGGCCAGCGATCTCCCTCGGGATAACCATCTTATTTCCGTGTATAAGAGAAGGCGTCTGTGCTCCGCGTCCATTTCCTCACAAAGCTGCTCGAACAGACGCGAGTTAAGGGCGTGTGCTTTGATGTAGTTAATAACTTTAACAACATCATTCAATACAGTGTTAAGTTCCGGTGGCATTTTTCGGCTAGCCAGCATTTCTCTGTGAATGACGCAATGCGTAGACTCACATTCTGGTGCAACCTCTTTAATCCGAGCAGTTAAACCAGACAGCCGTCCAGTCATGGCAGCAGCTCCGTCTGTGCATATGCCAACACAAAAGGACCATTTCAGTTTTCCTGATATATAGTCATCCAGCGACTTGAATAGTTCTGCGGCTGTGGTTTTGGTTGGCAATGATAGTGCACATAACATATCCTCATGCACATCCTCCTGATAAAGATATCGCACATAAACAAGTAGTAATTGCCTTGTTGTCAATATCTGTAGACTCGTCAACCTGGAGTGCGTACCACGGTGATGTATTTATCCTCTCCAACAATTGTGTTTCAATGTCCTCTGCTATTTCGTCAATGCGCCGAGTGACGGTGCTAGCCGAAAGAGGCACCTGTGCGATCTTTTTAACCACATCATCTCCTAGAAGTTCACGGCAAATGTCTTTTGTGGCAGGAAGGATCAATTCTTCACCAATAGTGAATGGTTTCTTTGCCTTAGCAATACGGTTAGCCACCAAGTATGATGCTCTCAGTGCACTCGCATTTACTGATGTGGTGGCCCTCATTAATTGTTTCTGACCTTCTTGTTCAAACTTTTTTCTTTCAAAATACTCAGAAGGCTTGTCTTTTAATGCGGGGTGCTTGGTCTCCAAGTGGCGACGCAGTTTTGAAGGCTTCATCGCCTCATTAGAGAGCTGGTTGCCACATATTATGCAGAGCGGGCTCGGTGCGTGTTTATCACCTGTTGCGATAAATCCATATTTCAAGTAGGACTCCTGGTATTGTCTGTTAAATGTAGCTTTCTTTTTCTTGGAAGTCGTAGGCTCTTCTTCTGTCTCCTCACTAGCCCGTTTCCCCTTCGCAAAGAAACTTTCCAGAGACGTTTGTTTTTTACTCATTTTGCTAGCTTGTGGGTTTATTTTTTTAGCGGTAAAGTATCACGTGACCGAGACAAGCGTTGCTATGCGCCAAGAGTGAGTCATAGACGGATGTAACGGAGATATTTTATTATTTTTAAAAGGTATTATTTTTAAAAATAAAACATTGTTCAGACTCGGAAAATAAAACGGAAATAATGTTATTTATTTTTCATTTATTTAAAGTTATTTTTTTTTCTGTGCGGCCCGGTATCAAATTACCCACGGACCGGTAACGGTCCGCGGCCCGGGGGTTGGGGACCATTGAGTTAGAGGACGCGGTTAGGTTTAGGTATGGGGTGGGGGTAGGGTACACGCGATCCTAGGGCGTCATCTAACTGACGCTAAAGGGCGCCTAAAGCGTCAGATATTGAAGCATGTCCAAATGCTTCCCAAGGCGTCAGTTAAGTGACGCCTTGGGAGTGAGAATGGGCTGTTATTTATGTTGTTCTGTCGGATTATAGTGTCGAGTTCACTGAATATGATCAAAAAAATGTTGCCAACGGCAGCTTTAACTGAGGCTGTACTATTTTTTTGTTTTAAAGTTTTCTCTTGCCCAAGTGTTCAGGCATACGTTTATTATTATTTTAAATTTCATTTATTATTTTGGTTCTTTTATTTTTTAGGGAAAAAAATAAACATTTAGGCTAGGTTATGAACAGAAAAAAGACCGCCGCGCACCTGAAGTCACCTGTAAAATCCTGCCTGGTCCCTGATTTCAGTTTCACTCTCTCTTTTGATTCGACAAGATCCATACTTAAGCTATTAATAACAACAGCACATACCAAAAAAAAAGACATTAAATTACAATTTAGAAATTATTAGAAAGTAAAAGTGTAGGCTATTTGTTTATACTATAGCTATTTGTTGTTGGGCTGGTCCAGTCATGACGGCGCTGCATGAGATTAAATTCGACTTACCATTCGTGATCTGAATGCATAGACAGATGAAACCAGTGTTTAAAATCATATTCCTCAAAATATGTCCGGAAGATTTCTGATAAATACAGTTCTCATGGCGCAGTTGAAACGGATAAAAAGCAAAAACTTCGTGCTTCTCTGATTGTGTCAGTCAGCTGATCAAGCTCACGGCAGAGAAAGGTAGAGCCAACGCCCGCCCCACATTCTCTGGTGACAACAATTATTTGTTCTTCTTATTTTAGAACTTTTAGGTCATTTTAGGTGGCATTTGTTTGTTATTACTCCACAAAATAAAACTTTCTTTTTTATATTTTTCCAACACTGAATCTAATACTACAAATATTTAATTATTTAAAATGTGTTTGGTCAGTCTCAGGCAACTTTATTTAGGGTCTCTAAGCAGAATATGGACGCATGTTTTCTCACGTGCTGTTTAAAAAGCATGTTTGCATGTACATTAATTCCATGTTTTCCCCTCAAGAAAGTGTTTATTTTAAAGAAATGGTTGGTTATACATGTTCGAATAATTGATTTTTGTGAAAAAAAATCACTATATAGGCCTATCAAGTCAAGGTGTATTTTTTTAATAAAAAACACAAAGCCATTATTAAATTAAAATGACATGTGTTGAAAAAAACATCTTTGATTTAATATATTACAATACAGTCCCTACTAGAATCTAGAGCTTCTAACAGCAGTAATTTGGCTATGGGTAAGTTTTTATCCCTTAAAACTCATCTTTGATAATCAAATTTACATATTGAAATTTCTTTTTTTCCCTGTGAAGAAAATATTTTCTTTATGTCTTAAAATATATTGAATGTAACTCTTCGTCCTTGCTTAATTTAGTAAATGAGGAGCCATGAATATGCAAATTTGTTTGCTTGCAATACCTGATCCACTGGTCAACTAAACTCTACCGAATGGCAAGTTGAAATATTAATTTATTTCATAGCCTATTACTTAACCAGAAACCGATTCAGAAGAAAAAGAGGAAGAGCACATGAATTCACCAATGCTATCTCACGACCAATTAACACAAATTCGTATAAGTGACTAAAATTCTAATTCACGATTTGTCTAAACCAACGTGATGGATAGGTTTAGTGGCGAGGTCAGGTGTAGCTCATTTGTACAAATTCATACGGATTGGGCAACTCTAAAATATGAATGATTTAGCAAAATCGTAGCAAAAAAATCATACGTATTCATACGACCTTGTACATTTTGTACGAATTGCCTTGAGATCGGGCTGGAATTTACACATGGTTTGTCTTAAAGGCCACCTGAAATCAAAATTGATTTCTTAATTTAATTTTTTTTTAGCTCTTAGGATGGATATGTTTGCCTTAATGTTATGAATACAATGTTTTCCATGCAATGACAAAATTCGCATTTAGGAGAGAAAAGCATTCAAAACTAAGTCTTAGTCACGGATTTTTATGAAGTCACCGCGGACTTCAGCTTCTCATCACATCTTCTGTCCAATCAAATGCTCTCTAGTAGAATCTAAAGCGTTCCATCCCTTTTGCTATAAACACCACCTGCCATAGTGACCATGGCTGTACCTGACTGTGTCAGCTGCTCGTGCTCATCAGGTCCATCGTTAACTGGAGAAACATATAGGCCTTCTCCGGGATATTGTTTATTATGAGTCGGAGTGACTGTCAGGAACTTTAGAAAACTGGATCTGCGCCAACTCTGTTTTGAACGATTTCGTCTCGATTTGGTGAACTGGTCGACCGGTTCACAAAAAAAGAACCAGTTCAAAAGAACGATTAATTCACAAACCAGACATCACAACAGTTGTCACGGAACAATATGGGTTGAAGATGTGTGTTAGGTTGCTCAAACGCTCAAGTGTTATTACATTTTCAGGAAGAAAAGGCTAGAACTTATTTACACCTCCAACATTACTAATGAATCCAACATATCAGCACTCGGATTCGTTTCCATGATGCTGTCAAGTACGACTTGCTGTCTGTAATGTAAACTAAATGTTATTGGCTTTTTAAAAAGGGGGAAGAGCCATTCAATTTGTCCTAGCTTCCTGTTTCAGTGGAAATGACATCAATGCATCATACAAAGCTGCCCATTTTAAGCAGGGGGGTAATCCATCAGCCAGAAACTGAAGCCTCGTGGGAGCCGCCATTGTAGCTGGCTATCACCTGCTGTTAGCATCCCATTGACTCCCATTCATTTTGGCGTCACTTTGACAGCGAATAACTTTACATCTGAGGTGTCCAAAGACTAAATTTGTCCTTAATTTATTTCTTAAGAAACACGACAATGGATAGAAGGCTGCATTTCTTTGTATCTTACGTTATGGCCCCGTAGAAGCCGTTTTTGTAAAAAAAAAAAAAATAGGCTAATGATTGTGTCATAACCAAAGGACTCTCTGTCGCACAGTAAATAAATTGCCAAATAGACAGGAGGAGACGCTCTTAGGCAGTCTTACTGTCTATAAGGCAATCGGGGGGACATGGAGGCACAAAGTCAATGGAGAAGCTCATAGATAGAGAGTCCATAAAAGCAACGGGAAAAAATATTCCAACAGCGGATTTGTTTCTGATTTCAATTCAGATTTTTCTTGGCACAGCTACTAGAAGTCTTACAACTGTCAGACAGACTGCTCACGTCACATCCACGTCATCAAGCTAAGTTTGAACCTGCACAGTTCGCTCAGCCATCAGGAAGTGATTGCTTCTAATGGGCTTCACTTTTCTCTGTTGAAATCTATGGGGTCGCTGAGTCCATTTATTTTACTGTCTGGTTTTAAGGCACTTCATTGGGCCTTTAAATCATATTAAAACAACATAGACTTGTAAACAACATAAAAAAAACTTGATTTTCACCACAGGGTTTATCAACAATAAATCAACAAATATTGATTTAAAAAAATAAATCAATATCAATTTTATTGAATCTATATATATAGTAGATATCAGTAGGAACAAAAGTATCAAATTAATTTATTGGCCTATTCACACCTCTAAAGATTTTGTGACACATTGGGTTCTGGTAGGCTACTACCTTTTGTAAGACTGGAGAAACTGGAAGAACTGGATTGGAGAGTGTTGTGGACATGAAAGAGTTCATGTTTTTAATTGTCACCTGATCCTGGTGGCAGGTCACGGGATTACCTGGGAATGTGAATATATAGTCACCTCTTCACTGATTAAGTTAGGTGAGAGGGGGTGAGCAGGGGTGATGTATTCTGTTGACCAGCAAACTTTGAGCAGCAAAATTTCTATCAGCCAGAAATAAAGAATTGCTAGTAAAAGATAATTAGTCTCATCA